TGAAAGTAGAGCCAGATTCTGCTAGAGTTCTGGTCCTGTAGGCAGCACAGCCTTGAGTACATCAAGGAAGATCTCAAAGCCTTATGCAGTAGACATCTATGTGGGCAATATTGCCCGAACCCCTACCCCAGGTTTTTGGGGATTCCTACAGGAAAATGAAGCACAGCAATATTTCCTAATCTCTTGCTCTTCTTAGTTTTTTTCTGCTACTACATTTCTCTTCCACTGAAAACTAAATAACTGTCGATCTCAAGTCCAGTGATCTCAAAGTTTCATGAAGCCAAAAATCATCCTTACTCCAAAATGGGGTGTGTAGGGGCGCCTGGGTGGCTCAGTAGGTTAAGTGTCTGCCTTCAGCTCAGGTCATGATCCCAGGGTCCTGGGATTGCGCCCTGTTTTTGGCTCCCTGCTCAGCAGGGAGTCTACTTCTCTGTCTCCCTCAGCCCCTCCCCCTCCACTCATGCTCTCTATTTCTCTCAAATAAATAATAAAAATAAAATCTTTTTAAAAATGGGGTGTCTTGTATGGCTCCAGGTTCAAACTGAAATAATAAAAAGAATGATGGTTACATTTGGTTATAACTGCAGACCTGACATCAGATGAAGCAAAAAGGAATACGAAGAAAGGCATAAGAAATAAGGAGAAGGGGTGATGCCACTGTGGCTACTCATCTGAATGATCTGTATTTGGTTCACCTAGAGTTCTGCTTCCAGTCTAGTGTAATAATACTGAAGAGAGGGATGTTTGTGTTGGAGAGGTATCAATTCTCCGCTCAGAAAATACAGATGCTTGGGTCACTACCAGAACTTCAAGAATGCTCAAAATAAGCCCAGTATAAAATTTTGCCTGAGGGATGCCTGGGTGGTTCAGTTGGTTAAGCATTTGCCTTTAGCTCTAGTCATGATCCTAGGGTCCTGGGATCGATTCCTGCATTGGGCTCCTTGCTCACTGGGGAGCCTGCTTCTCCCTCTGCCTGCTGCTCCCCCTGCTTGTGCTCTCTCTCTGACAAATAAATAAAATCTTAAAAAAAACCCCAAACTTTGCCCATTTTTTTTTAGATTTTAGATTTTTTAGATATTTATTTTTTAAAATTTTATTTATTTATTTGACAGAGAGAGACACACAGAGATAGGGAACACAAGCAGGGGGAGTGGGAGAGGGAGAAGCAGGATTCCTGCTGAGTAGGGAGCCTGATTTGGGGCTCAATCCCAAGACCCTAGGATCATGACCCGAGCTAAAGGCAGATGCTTAACGACTGAGCCACCCAGGTGCCCTGTAGATTTTATTTTTAGGTAATCTCTATACCCAATGTGGGGCTTGAACTCACGACCCTGGGATCAAGAGTTGCATGTTCCATCAACTGAACCAGCTAGGCACACCTGTCTGAGATCAGTTTTTATTTTATTTATTTAAAAAAAAGATTTTCTTTATTTATTTGACAGACAGAGATTATAAGTAGGCAGAGAGGCAGGCAGAGAGAGAGGAGGAAGCAGGCTCCCCGCTGAGCAGAGAGCCCAATGTGGGGCTCAATCCCAGGACCCTGGGATCCTGACCCGAGCTGAAGGCAGAGGCTTTAACCCCCCGAGCTACCCAAGCACCCCCTGAGATCAGTTTTTAAAAAGAATTTTCCTTTTATGTGTAACAGTCATGCTCGTGAATAGTGGCTATAAAAGAAATAATAACTCATCTCTAAAACAGGAATGGTAAGTATGCAGAAAGTCTAAATAAATTACTAGGCCTGTCATTCATCTCTTACTTCATATCACAGTAGGTTCCTGGTTCCGTCTGAACCTTTACACTGATTCTCTGAGTTTGTGTTCAGAGGTTAAGGGAACAAAAATGGCACAGACACAACTGAGTTTGTGTTCAAAGGTTAAGGGAACAAAAATGGCCAGAAAACCACTGGGAGGCTGGTGGGGTGACAAGTCCCAGAATACCATAAACCCTATCCACCTCCACTGACATGGGAAGTAGGAGGTACAAAGTAGTATTAGCTTATGTCGAATCTCAGTATATTGCACAGACCTTTTCTGTGATAAAGAATTTGATTGATGACCCACTCAAATAGAATTTCTACACTTTCTTACCTAGTAGGATTATGTTTGAAAAAATAAAAAATATAGCAAAGCCCGGGCAGAGAAACCCTAACCTAAGAGAAGGTTTACTCTAGCCAGGGAATTCTATTTTTAAGAAAAAATAAGCAACTTAATGAGTCTGTTCAGTTCTTTCCTCATCACCCCCCACTGCCTCTAGCCTTGACTAAAAACTGACTTGTGAATTTTCCTTTTTTAAACATCTTACTTGGGCGCCTGGGTGGCTCAGTCGGTTTAGTGTCTGCCTTCAGCTCAGGTCATGATCCTGGGGTCTTGGGATTGAGTCCCACAAAGGGCTTCTTGCTCAGTGGGGAGCTTGCTTTTCCTTCTCCCTCTGCTGGCCCCTGCATGTACTCTCTTCTCTCTTTCTCTGTCAAATAAATAAACAAAGTCTTAAAAAAAAAAAAAACACACAAAAAAACCCCAAACATCTTGCCGTGGTAACTTACAGAAGCAAGGTGTAGCAGAAAAATTATTTAAAAGTTTGATGACATATGCTCTTATTCCAATTTTGCCACAAACTGGGTGACTTTTGGGCAAGATATATAATCCTTCTGTTGTTCTGTTCTGTACAATTAGAACAACTACTTGGCCCATGGCTCAGGCTTGTTAAGATGACCTAGTGAGATGCCAAATTACTTTGAGAATCATAGAATTTATTAGCATAAGGCATCACTATTATTTTAAAATGCAAACCAAATCATCATCGTTTTACAAGCTTCCTTGGGATCCTTGGCCATTTTTATGGCTTTAATAACTTATATTGGAGTTTTTAACTATATTAGTCCCTAACTTTCAATTTTCTAGATACCTCCATTTATCTGACATCCTCTTACTTAAGACTAAAAAAAATAGGAATGCCAGGAATGAAAACAATTTTTTCCCCAGATTATAGTACAAAGGTGTAACATTGCTTCTAGCCCACATATTTTCTGTGATGACCATTCTGGAAGGCAGAAAGTATGATCAGTGTCTGAGACGGAGGAGAGAGAAACTTCAGCGGGTGAGGAGGCCGATAAGGGGTGGGTAAGCACAGGTCTTATAACAAAAGTCATTTGAGGGGAGCCTGGGTGGCTCAGTTGGTGTCCCCTTTGTCTCCATGCACAGTGGGGAGTCTGCTTGAGATTCTTCCCCTCCTTCCTCCATTCTCTAAAATAAATAAATCTTTAAAAAGGCATTTGATATGAAGATTTTTTTTCTCTTCATGTTGATTAGAAGAAACACATAGGGGATGAAATCTGTAGCATTTTACTTGGGATGTAGCTCCAGTCTGATGAATATATTGTCCAAAACTTGTATTTAGTGCAAAGGTGTGTCAACTCAGGATTCTTATCAGTACACAGAAGGGATTTTAAATACAGTACATGCACAAAGGCATTACTTTTATGTCGAAGGAGGTGGTTTCATAGTTTCATAGTTTTCCTTTCATTAGAGCCAATTTCCTTCTTAAAGGGAGATCCATATTTCTAATGTCCACAAGGCAGACACTACACAGCACATCAGAGAGATCCTTGCTCATTCACTCATCAAAATGTATCAACCATGTATTACCTACAAGGCACTGGACTATAGTACATGGGGAACATTAAGATGTACAAGATACAAATCCTCTCCTTAGGAGTGAGGGGAAACAGTCATTCCAGTTTAATTTGCCATGTGCCAAGTATGATGATAGAGGCTTTGTATCTATTACCTCATGAGAACCTTATACTTTAGAAAGTGAGCTAAGACACACGCATAAATAATAATATACTTGGCATATGCTGAGCACCCAATAATTATCTGTTTAATGAATGAATATAAGGAACCTAAGAGATCTCAAAATAATCACTCTTGTTTCAGAGACCCAGAGATTCAGAGTCCCCCTGAGGTAGTGGTTTCCGACACCAAGAACCTCATTTCATGTTGGGTTGACCACTTCCGAGCTGTATAATGAATGGTCTGATCCTGGGCAGGTTGAATAACCTGAATTTTGATTTCCTAACCTGCGATTTGGGTAAAGAGCCTCCCACTTCATAGTATTGTTATGGGGGTTGGTGATAACGTCTGCAAAGCTCCCCGCGTAGAAGGCTCTCGAAAAAGCGGGAGCAACTAGTACTATTACTAAATTTTACTACTGGACTGATACACTCTAACCATTGATGTAGTGTCCTTTCTACGACTGGCTCCAGTTATGTGCACGTACTTCCTGCAAACGCATTTAAAGACCCCTAGAGACTCAGAGACCAGTGCTTTTACCTGGTGCGAGACATTAGCAATTTCACTTTTATAGAGAGGAGTGTGGAGAGGTGTGAGGGATTTCTCTCCAGCGCCCTTTCGTGGCCCTTTTGAGACTGCGAAAAGCCTGTCACGAAGGTTCCCCACCTGCTTCTCAACGTCTAACCACGGTTCCTAAGCACCTACTGTGCGCAACGAAGCGCACCGCGCCAGGAGCTGCAGGAAGCCCGGCCCGTACTCTTTCTCTGGTCTTTTACGTCACGGTTTGAGGCTACTAAGCCCTCTTCTCTGACGTACTGTTGAATTGGTTCGCAGGCAATCGCGGTACCCCCAAGGAGAGCTCCAAATCCCCTCACGCCTACGAAACCACAGAAACTCCCACCTCCAGCCTCCCGCCGCAGGGAGGAGCAAAGACCCCTGGGAAATTGACCTTTCGCCTCCGCTCACTCCTTACTTCAGCTCACCAATTTTGACGCTAGCGAATGAAGCGACGAAAAAACCTGGGAGGCGGGACTTAGTGTTGTCCGATCCACACTGATTGGACTGCGACGGCGTGAGGGGGTGGACCGCGTGAACAGGTTAGCGACCCTCCCTCCGTGAGCCGGGAGAGGTGGAGGCTGCGCTTGCGCACTGGGAGGCGGCGGAAGTGGCCTGAGGCGGCTACGCGTGCGCTGTGGGCGGAGCGCGGCTCCTCCACCTCCTTAGCCAGCTAAGTCTTCCCATCCTTGCCCAGCTGGTGTGGTGCTCGTGTTTCCGCACCTCGTCGCGTAGAGTCGCTGCCGAGTGGGCGCTCGGTGTTCGGGTCGTCATGGCTGGTTACGAATACGTGAGCCCGGAGCAGCTGGCTGGCTTTGATAAGTACAAGGTAGCGCGGGGCCCCGCGGACGCCCCTCTCCCTCCTCTTCCCGGCCTCTCCTAGGCGGCTGAGGGGCAGGCGCGGTCCGTGTCACCTTGTGCCGCGTGGCTCCGAGCGGACTGGCGGGCGTTTCTCTGGGGGGGGGGGGGTCCTGTCGAGACCTGGAGCTTTGGGGTCAGGGTGCGTGGGAGCGTCCTAGGCCCGCCGCCTTGATTCGGTACCTTCCCGGAGGATTGCCTTTTCCTTAAGGGACCGCTCGACGAGAGTGGAACCAGAGAATTCCCTGCGCTGCTTTACTTCATCATGATTATTTTTAGCGGATGCAGTTACCTACGTGGTGTCTTAATTGTCTTCATTTTAATGAAGTCTCCACCCGTCTCTTTCATACAACTCAGATGGAGATGGTTTGTGGCAGAGAGGCCCGAGGAGGGGGAGTAACTACTGAGGCCATGCTGCTGATGCACTCCACTTCTACGCCCAATGAGGAGGCTTCCTCAGCCGTAGCTTGTGGCGCTTGGGCTGCCCGATGAAGTAAATGTGCACAGAAGGAGCTGTGTAGTAGAAAGAGCGCGGGCTTTGGAGTCCGTAGAAACCTGATACCAAACTCTAATTTCTTTACGTGGCCTTGGGCCAGGTAATAGTCCCTATGGTGCAGAATGATTATAGGAATTTGCCAAGGGACTGACACATAATGGGCCTCCAATAAAAGCTGGTTGTTCACTTTCCTCCAAATCTGGTTTTCCTCCACTGCTCTCTTATCAGTGAATGACTCCATTGTCCATCCAGTTTGCAGAGCCCGAGATCTGGGCTGTAACCTTTCATCCTTGCTGTCGGTGTCAGTTTCACTCTCGATTCCTCTACCTCACCCACCAGCCAGTGAATCACCAGGTCCTGTACCTTCTGTCACTTTTAGCCCAAGCTAGAAGAGTGGTTCCATTACCACTCATCCCACATACAGTGTAAGTAGCCTTTTTATTTTAGAATACTTTTAGAATAGATTTGCAGGAAAAATCGTGAAGATAGTAGAATTCCCTTATGTCTCAGACCCAGTTTTCCCTATTACTAACATCTTACCTTAGTATGATACATTTGTCATGATTAATGAATCAATATTTACACATTATTAACTGAGGTCCATACTTTACCCAGATTTCCCAAGTTTTCACTTAATGTCCTTCTTCTTTCCTGGGATTTCATCTACAATACCACATTTCCTTTAGTCGTCCTGTCTCCTTAGGCTTCTCTTGGCCGGGACCATTTATCAGACCCCTTCTTTTTGATAGCCCTAGTAGTTTTGAGGAGTTCTGGTTATGTGTTTTGTAGAATGCCCGTCAGTTGGGATTTGTCTAATGTTTTTCTCACGGTGAGGCAAGGGTTATGGGTTTTTTGGGAGGACGGCACGGAGATGAAATGGCATTCTCATTAGAGTACATGCTGTCCATATGACTTGTCACTGTTGATACTGACTTTGATCACCCGGCTAAAGTACTGTTTGTTAGGTTTCTCTCTGTAAAGTTACTCTCTTTGGAAGGCAGTCACTATGAACCCTCCCTTGATAGTGGAGAGTTATGTCCCACCTCCGTGAGGGCAGAGTATTGGCATAATTTGTTTGGAATTATGCATGGGAGATCTGTCTTTTCTTCCCATTGTGTATTTATCCAATCATTTAGTTATATCAGCGTGGATGCATGAATGTTTATTTTATTCTGTGGGTTATGATTAAGTAGTATTTTATTTTGTTGCTTGACCACATTTACTTTTGCCCTTACAGTTTTTTCTTTATGTTAGTGATCTTTAAAAAAAAATGTGCATCTGGTCACATTACTTTTTTGCTTAAAACCCCCACGTCTTCCCATTGCTCTTGGAATGAAGTCCCAAAAATTGATAACATGATCTACATGTCTCTGAATGATACGGTCCTTACCTGTCTTTAGCTTCACATACTCCTCACTGTCTGCTGCTGCTGGCGTTAGTAGCCATCTCCTCCCCTTCTCCCCTTTTCTTTTTCAGATCTTTAAGTAATGTTGTTCCAGCTGTCAGGAATGTTGCTTCCTTTCCTGTTTATATTCATCTTTATGTTTTCACTTAAATGTTATTTCCTCAGAGAAACATCCCCTAAGCTCTCCTCTCCCCTTAAGCGTGCCGTCAGAGTACCCTCTGCTCCTTTATGGAATTTGTTGGTGTGTCTCCCTAGTAGAATATAATACTCAAGTGGTTAGACTTGGTTTATGGATCACCATGGCCTGAGCACAGTACTACTACGCATACTAGGAACCTGGTAGACGTGTGGAATGAATGAATAGCTGAAAAAAATCATAATGGATTTTCCCTAACTGGAATCGGAAAAACTGTGAAGGACTTTAGCAAGTCATATGGGACATACCTCTGCTTTTAAGCAACATGGTGTCATACAGTTTTGACCTGAGGTGCTGACATGTATTAACATTTAAGTGAAAAGAAGGGGCGCTTGGGTGGCTCAGTGGGTTAAAATTTAAATGAAAAGAAGTTTCAGAGCCTTCTTGTAACCTTGGCCAGGGCTTTGTAACTTCATTAAAGAAGGTTATTAACCCAGACACCTCCTGTTTTGCCTTCAGCTCTACCCCTTCCTGTTCTCTCTTTTGCACTGTAAATATTGACATATAAAACTTTTTCCTTACTAGGATCTGGCTTTCTGGGTGTAAGTGCCAATAGAAGAGCTGTTTTCAGTTGCAGCAGTGTCTGTATTATGGAATCCACTTTTTCTTATAAGCAGTGTTCCCTGAGTTTATATTTCCAACTAGATAGGTGTTCTAATTTACAGTAAATTCGAGTGTGCTTTTTTATTCCTATCTTTTCCCTTTTTCCGTTACCCGACTCACTTCCTGTGTCTGACAGCACATTTCCTATCATCCTGGAAAACAAAGGTCAGTTTAGCAAGTGTCCAGTGTTCACTAAAATGTAGTTTGTTGATTTTATTCTAAAAAAGGAGGGCCACAAATTATAATCGAAACTTCTTCTAGTAGAGGGTACTTAGTATTGTGTTCATATTAAAAATATGAATCCAAAGGTGTCCAAAGGAAAAAATCTGTGTGGTCAGTTTTACTGGAATGTGAATTGTACCTAGAGACACTTTCTAAAGAACATACATACCTCTTGTGTGGTCTTCAACAGGAAGTGCTTTATGAATGCTTATTGAATTAAAACAGCTTTCGAAGCAGATCATCTCATAAATGGGTAAAGACTCAAAATAGTCAAGAGATCTTTATTCCCCGATGTGACCCTGTATATTACAGCAAAGAGATGTGAGAAAATTTGATACTGTAAAAGCTGCTGGTATAAAAATTACTTTTGAATTAGTTTAATTTCTTTGTCTCCCTGGAGGTACATCTGAGAGCTACAGTTGGAAACCTGGCAGTTATTCAGAATAACCACTGAGAAGGGTGCATATGTGGGTGGTAATTTGATTTCTGTAGTAAGAAACTAAGATGATTGCTTCTTGGTGCAGAAAAGAGCATGGGATGGATTGTATGTTATGTGCTGTCTGTTATGTGTTGTGTTCTCCATTTGTTACCACAATTTTATTAAGCAGATGAATAATTAGTTGAGAGTCTGCCTTCTCTGTTAGGATATGGGCTCTGAGAGGGTAGGGCCTATAGGTGTCTTATTCAACACGACCAGGGTATAGCACACGAAGAAAATAGGTGCTCAACAAATATTTATTGAAGGAATGAAAGTGCAAAAGAATATAAACCATTTTGGAAGTATGGTAAAAGGGAGCTGTGCATCTCCTGGATATCCGAAGAATACTTAGGTGTTTTGAATGTGAAGATGTCAGGGATTTAACTACCATTTTCTCTGTTGCTTCTTCATGTGCCTTTAGACAATTATATTGGGGGATTTTACCTTTGAGAGGCTTATCATTCCTCCTTTCTACCTGTCCATTCTTTGGACAACTCTTTACAGTTGAAGGATTTTCCCGATTATCTAAGGGTGAGACTTCTATTGTGGTTTACTTAATCTGACCTAGGGGAGGCATTATTTAATTGCTAGTGTAACAGCTAGATCCAAGTTGTATCATTTTGCTTCAGAGAGGAGGTAAGTGTTCTTCCAAATGTCTTGCTTGGTTTCAAGAATATAATTTTAGGATGAATTGGTTTCAGTTATTTTGTTGTTGCATGTCAACAACAACCAGATTATAGGAGCTGTAATAATTGTAAATTTAGTAGTGTAACAGTTAACAGGTTGTAAAGAGAGACTGTGTGCAGAAGAGCAGTGGAATGCAAAAGGAGTGGAGGCCTGAGAGTATTTTCTGGGAACCATAAGAAGGTAGATATTTAGGCATGATGGTGGAGAGGCAGGAGATGAGGCTGAAGAGGGAGGTGGGTCCTGTCAAGAGGGGATGCTTTGAAGGAAAGGACTTCTAGATTTTACCTGTAGATCAGTGTTTCTGTGGCCCAAGGACTATCAGCATCAGAATCACTTGGGGAAGTGTTTAAATAGCAGATTCCTAGCCTCACTTCGGGAGATTCTGGGTAGGTTACTATTATCTGCATGTTAAATATCTCAGGTGATTTTTAGGCATGTCGTAATGCTGTAGGTTTGGGGGAACTGCTTGATTTTAAACAGGATCAGATTTTAATTTTAGGAAGCTTACCCTGGCAGTGTGTAGAACAATGGGTAAATAGAAAGATAATAGTAATCTTTTGTGCAAGGGACTTCTCTTGGATGGGACCAAATGGTGTGGCTTGTGGACTAGGAATCAAAACAAAGAAACTTCATGCTGCGAAGAAGTATCGTTTGTGGAAGAATTAACCTCCACTAGAGGAATATTTCTGTAATGATTTCAGAGAATAGAACACTTGTCTTCTGAGGCAGAGTAGACACATGAGAAATTCTTGATCTTTTGATTTACACTTATGATTGCAGGTCAGCTACAGTATACCATGTTAATTATGGCAGTACCTAAATATGTTACATTTAATTCAGACATAACTTATCTTTAGTTGTGTTTGGTCTCCTTGAGTAGATTG